GGGATAAATTTGGGAGTTTGAGATTTACAAATGTTAGCCACTAAATATAAAAATAGATTTTTGAAAGTTTCTTCTGTATAGCACAGGGAAATATGTTCAATTATCTTGTAAACCCTTTAATGAAAAAGAATACAAAAACGGATATATGTATGTATATGCATGACTGGGACATTGTGCTGTGCACCAGAAATTGACACATTGTAACTGACTGTATTTCAATTTACAAAAACAAACTAAAAAGAATTGGTAACGTCATGGACCACTGTCCTTTCTTTTAGCACACTGTGAACATATGGATATATTTAAAGGTTTCCTTTATGCTGCGTCATATCAAAGACAGAGCCGAATGATATTATATAAGAGGCTATTTCAAAGTAATGAATTAGCTGAACAAATGCTTTCTTGCTAAACAAATAATTCTGCAAGAAAATGGATCTTTATTCTTAAATCCTCCTCCCTTCTCAATTAATTAGACTTTGTTGGTGAAAGGAAGTTAAGAAATTCAGCGTACGCCTGATTATATCATGAATGCAAAATGAGCCAGGCAAATAATGGGCTCTATACTCTTTCAAACAAGTTAAATAGTCCATAATAGCCCACCAGTTGTGTAAACACTATTTCACTATACTTGTAAAAGAAATATTGACTTACCTGTTAACTAAAATTATCCTGGCATGCTTCAACTAAGCTTATTAGTAATTCATGTGGTGTACTTGAATGTTTTTAGTTGTGGACTTTTATCAAAGATTAAAGAATTAGGAAAGCATCCGCTTAGCAAGCCCAGGAACACATACCAGACTGTACTTTACCAGCACTGATTTTCGAAACTTGCAACCTAAGAGTCTAAGAAGTAAAAAGGGATTTCCAGCCTGGCATGAAATATTCCCATTACACACCAGCTCATTCACAGTGAGATGCGTTCCAAAATCGTAAATTATAAGAACATCTCACCCAGACAAAATACCAAATGAGTCTACTTGGAGCCTACTAACCTTACTATCACACATAAGAGAGGGGCGGTTTTTCTCCTGACATCTCACCAGTATATATTCTTGTGAGTAACTAGTGGTCAAGAGAAACCAGAAATATATATATTTAAGGGGGAATGGGGTTGAATATATACTTGTCCCTACTGTTCACATGAAAAAAAAAAAAACCATTCTGGTTCTACTGGTTTCACTGTAGTCCAAAAAGACTACACTTTTTCCCTGACCAAAATATGTGAATTTCTTTCTCAATAAAATGATAATAAACCCAAGGTCCTATCCAGTTTAAATCTCTATGTGGATAGAATTCCCAAGAGATTTGGAAAACGGTACAGAACTTAAAGTCAGAAGACTCAGGTTAGAATTTTGGTTCCCTCACTGACTTGCTGGTCACCATTAGGAAAACCACTTGAATTTCCTATCTTTAAATTGGGGAGTAAAAATATACAAACATCATAAGGTTGTTACGAGGACTGAGTGAGAGCATGTGGCTGTGTAAAGGACTGAGTCAATGCTTATGGTCTTCATCAAGCAATTTGATAACCTGATCCTATAAATTAAATGGTATTTGCCACAAAACAGAGAGACCACTGGTCAGTGGCCTTACTAGAACTTTTTTCTAAGTGCACAAGGAATCTGGTTTGCTGTATTTTCATCTTTATTAGCTTAGGTAAATTGATTAACATACACACATTCAGGCAATAAATCACTATTAGCAGAACCATTCTTACTTTCAACCCATATGATTTTCTGTGTTTTAAGGTCTCTAAGACCTTGAATTTCGTCAGGTCACATTCAAATATTCATGTCTCCTGGGCTTTCAAGTTTTTCCTGAGCATCCTTGAGTGTAAGTGATTGCAGCTAAGTCCTTGCTCATTACCTCAATGCAACAAGACAAAACAAAGTTGATTGCCTCACCCAACGGGGAGGTGATGGAATAGAAATAGCTTTTAGATCCAGATGTTTAAAAGAGGACCTTAGGATTTTTGCTTCTCTCCTTGCTAATGCGGATGTTCAGTTCCTGGTGAGCTTCCTCCACAAGGCGGAATGACAGCCCCTCTGAGCTCCAGGTTTCCTTGTCCTTAGAACTTGTGAAGCCAGAGAAGAAGAGCTTCTCACCCCAGAGTCCACAACAATCCCCCAAATGGATGCAGACTGCTCTGCTTGTGTCTTACCTACCCCAGGGACAGGGAGGTGTGGTCACATGATCCACAGCCCTGCCAGAGTCCCCTGAGGTTTGGGAGGTAGTGTCCCAAAGGAAAAGTGTGGAGCGCTCTTACCAAAAGGAAAGAGAGGCATTGGGCATACAAAAACAACAACAAAAACGGGTAACAGATGTTCATTACACCTGGTTTCATCCAGCATAGCTGTCTTCCCCTTGTAATTGAATCCGAAATCCCTCTGCTTTACATGAATTTACTAACAAGCTTCAATTCCTGAACAGAAGAGGAAAAGCACGAACATAGGCTGAAAATCTACTCTGCTCTAAGCCAAGTGCCAGACATTTTCACACCTAGAACTACCTAGGTGATTCCTAATCCTCCTTTACGCAGCCTTAGGCTCATCCTGTCCCTCTGATCAAACACTTAAAACTGTCAGAACCTAGATTCAAATCCAGTTTTGCCCGATTCATTCCACAACCAAAGTGCTACGCTCTTTTTGGAACCCTGAAGTCATAAAAGAAACTGTTGCTGAAAGTCCTTAGTAAGATGGTGGACACCACCAGATTTTGATGCCTGTGTTGATAAATCAGTCAGTCAATAAATATTGGTTAAGGTCTCGCTATCATTAGTCCATAGTGTGAGTCCTACAGGTAAAAACTAGTGGCCGAGTCCCTGTCTTCAAAGCCATCACCACAAAGTTAGGAAAACAAAACAAAAAAACAGTATTCAAGAAAACCTGAGGGCTCAATTGTGTGGTATGTATCACATACAGTGAGACTCCTGGGATTCCTGTGCAGTCTGGTAGACTGCGTGCTCCGTGAGGACAGGGAAATTCCATGTTGCATCATGACCGTAGCTCTTCTACAAAGATTTGTTGCTTGGTGATTAATGTAGATTATGGTTATGGGAGGTTTTACACAAAGAGTAAGTCGAATTGCCCCTACAAAATAAGCAATCTGAGGATAGGTTAAAAGGGGGGAAGGAAAATAGGTAATTAGTAAGGCATTCTATAAACATGGAAGGAATGGCTGGAAGAATCAAGAATCGTGTTAGAATAAGCAAACGGACCGTCATGGATGTGATGTGCAAAGTGACAAGTGAAGGGGCAGACCAGAATTGAGCACTGATATTCAGAAACCAGGGTTAACTCACAGTTTTCAGCAGCCACTGTCTAATGTTCCGAAATCTCTGGGCCACGGTTCCTTTATTTGCAAAATGAAGAGGATGGAGGATAGAAAGCTTAGCCACACTCTCCTTCCACCTAAACCTGAGCGTTACAAGCTTGCCAGTGATGGGATTCACCCTAGAAAAGAGCATGTTCAGAATACTGATTTAGGTCCAGGAATCTATATATTTTTAAATGTTTCACAGGTGGTCAGCCAGGTTTGGGGAATCACTTCCTAAATGAAGGAGAGTAAATAACCACAAAGAAAAAAAAATCTTTCCAATTGTAAAATTCAGAAGATTGTATGGGAAACTCAGCAGGATGGGCTTAGTGGAGAAAGACTAAGAGAGGCCTTAAGCCAAAAGGGTTCTCCACCTTCATGAAGCAAGGAGGCATTGTGCCCCAGAGTGAAAATTGCCCATTTTTGCGAGCTGAAGTGGCAGGCTGGGGCCCGAACCTCTTTTAGCCAGTCAGGTCTGCAAACTTTGACTTGCTTCTCGCTGAGGCCTTCTCTCGGAGACAGCCTCCTAACTCCCTTTGGTCCTTTCTCCTGCAGGTTCGCTGTGGGCCACTCTGGCCGAGCGTGAGGACACGCACCTTGCACTGGGTTCCCGGAGCCCAGCGCCTCTCACCTGGGTGGGACTGCACCTCCTCACAGAGCCCGGGACTGCTTCGGATGAAAAGGCCGCCGAACAAAAGCAAACATCCATCTGTCTGTCTGTCCGGCATTGTTTTACTAAAGCTGGCTTCCTAGAGGATCCTAAATCACTTGGGGGGGAAACAAAAAAAAAGCCACTTGGCCTTCTTACCCCATGAGTTCGACAGCACTGGAGCGCTTGCTCACCAGCTGCATGTATTTAGCAACTGGCCCACCGTTTCAATTTTAGGGCAAAAGCGGGCCAGACAGG